AGTATTACTAACTAATACTATCTAATATACAAGATATAATTAAAGTATTATAGTATAAATAATTATGAATAGGTTATATCAAAGTACATTAAAAGATATCAAAGAATGTTGAAAAATATTAGAGTATGTGAAAGGATATTGAAAGATATGAAAAGATGTGAGAAAATATAAAAAGATATTGAAAGATATGGAAAGATATGAAAGAACATGAGAGAATGTCAAAGGATGTCAAAGAATGTGAAAAAACATTTATAATCATTATTCAAGTATAACTATTTCACCATTATACTATTCTATTATATATATAAATATCATATTACAAGATAATAAAAATATAGATCCCAAATATTAAATAAAATATAATGTTAAAAAATAGAAATATGTTAATAAATATAGTAATAAATGATATAGAAAATAGAGAGAATTATAAAATAAATAAAATTATAATAAAATATAATTTTTCATAACTAGGAAAAGATTAAGGAATTAAGATATTTTATGTTATTACAGTAATATTACTATATAAAATTTGATTAAAATTAATATAAAAATTATATAATAAATAATTCAATTATTTAGCTTTGAATTTTAATATTTTTATAACTATTAATTCAATTTTTATTAAATTTAAAATATATATTTATCAAATTTAGAGCAATCTGCTTGCATTATAATATTACAAATTGATAGTGATAATATTTAAAATATTTTTTTTTAAAAAAAATTTTATTTTAGTTTTTTTTAGTAAAGTAATACTTTATTTATTAAAGTATAATAGAATAGTTAAAATAATATAAAAAGTTAATTTAGATCATTTTTTATTTAATATAAAAAAACTATAAAGATTAATTAAAATTTGAATAATTTTTATTAGAAGTAATTATTAATTTTTATATTAAGATACAAATCTTTTTGTATTGATTTATAATTATTGATTAAATTAAAAATTTTATAACAAAATCTTATTAAAAAATATAAATTTTATAAATATTAAATTAATTTTTATTATAAAAAAATTTATTATGATTTTGAAAATTATAAAAAAATAAAAAATTTAATAAACTTAATATCATTAAAAAAAGATTTATATAATAAAAAAGTTACTTATTCTTAATTATAATAATTAATTATTAAAAATAAAAAATTATAAATATATAATAAAAATAATTAATATATATAAATAATATAATTGATAATTTAATATGAATTATTTCAAAAAGTAATAATAATTCTGATTTAAATAAAATTATTTTTTATCAAATTTAAATAAAATCAAACTTTTAATTATTATAAGTAATTAACAAATTTATAAAAAATGAAAATTTATTAATATATAATCTGTATAAAAAATAATAATAAAAAGTTTGTTAAAATAAATAAAATTTAAGATAATAATAATATATAAAATTTTTTTAAAATACTTATAAATAGAATTTTATATTCTTAAATATTTGTATTTAATATATCTTCTTTTTGTATTAATTTTAATTTAAATATAATTTGGCATAAGAATAATATTATTAAGAACTACTCAATATATACCTCTTTTTCTTTTTCATTTAGTATAATAAAAAATCTTTTGCAATACATTTAAATTTTATTATATTATTCATATATTATATATAAAATCGAGATCTAAACTTTATTAAAACATAGCAAAATATATATGGTATGATGCGCCATAAATATTTTTTTGAAAGAGGCTTTAAATGAATAGTTAAAAAGCAAATAATTGAAATTTGAGTATTTTTGTAAGGATGATAGTATATCTTTTACAAGAATGAATATTAGCATAATTTATTAAGAAATTTTTATAGAATTGCAGTGAGATTTAGCCAAAAGTTCTTTCCAGGCAACAGGGTTAAATTTTTTTGATAAAGAAGGATGATTATTGCATACTGATAACAGGAAAAATATAGCATATGTCAGCATCAATCAACAGGTAACTTATTATGTCTTGTGCACATCTCAACAGATTCACACAAATAAACATTACTTTCCGTGCGGACTGTATTTCTTTAGGATACATGTAGTTAGTGATTAACATTCAGCATGGACAACTTTTTTCGGGACGGGACGGGCACTTTAAATCTTGTTGGACATTTCGCGTGTACAATATACTATTTTAGCACAATGCTTAAAGTAATTTATTGATCGAATTTTTTCCGAATCATGTGTTATTTTTATCGTATTGAATTATGCTGTTTTTGCCAGAGATTGAACTTTGATTAATAAATTTATTTTACAAAGCCAAGTTAAAATAAATGAATCAAAATAAAGATCTTTTTTCATGAATCATAGAAAATGTTAACACATTTATTGACGTTAATACATATAATATTACTAACTATTCAGCATTATCATTACAGTCGCTATAAGAACATAGTCGGACCAGAAAATCCGGTTCTTATGGTGAGTTTTTTCTTATAAAGAGGTAATTTTAATATATATTGATTCCCAAAATTCTATTTTTATAGAGAGGTTCTTATATAGAGTGTTCTTATAGAGAGGTGTGACAGTATTAAATTAATAAATTATTACATATTAAAATTGTTTCTATATAGCACCTGCTACAATTGTTTCATCCTTTCGTAATGGTGAATTCTTTATAAAGAGTGTAGCAATTACAGAGATTCCGGCCATTATTGTTTGTACATACCAAACTTGCTGCAATGCTAATACATAGGCATGAATGACTTGAGACTCCGTATCATGCGGAAGATTGTGCACATATGTTACTGAATTTTTTGCTCTAAATTAAATGATAAAATATAGATGGTAAGTGATGTGATATAATTCATAATAAATCGTTAATTGAATAAATACTCACAAGAAAATTTCTTCAGGAGATGAGAAAATATCCTCCAAAGATTTTTCCAAATGATTAAAGAATACAGTCGAAGAAATCGCAACGCCGATTGCTCCACCCAACATTTGAAAGAAATTTACTAATGCGGTCGCTGACGCCAAATCTTTGACATCTGTGGCAGATTGAACTGCAACTACACCAAGCGACCATACGATTCCCAATCCGAGTCCGAAAATGATAAGATAACCAATTTCTTTACCGATTGAATCATTCTCCGTAAAAGTGCTGACTAATCCAACTGAGATCACCCCCAATGATGTACCTAAAAGCATTAATTCTCGAACTCGTCCGAATTTTGGCGCTAAAATAGCTGCAAGATTTGCTGATATCACTAATCCGACTGGGATTGGAATTAAGCGTAATCCACTAATTGTTGCGCTACTGTGTTTTGCCACTTGCCAAAATATCGGTAGGAAATACATTAAACTAAAAAATGTCATAACGAAAAATGGTGCTCCAATGTATACTGCTAATGCTGATCGGATTTTGAATAGTTGCGGTGGAATAATTGGTTCAATGGCGAATTTTGCTTCATAAACGCCCAACGCAATTATTAAAATTCCAGTAACAATAAAGAGACATATGATCCTTGCACTTGACCATGCATATTTTGTGCCTCCCCATGTTACTGCCAATAATATTGTTACTACTGCACCAACGATCAATGCCGTTCCGATATAGTCAACACGCTTCAATTTATCACTCAAAGATCCTTTAACGGCAGGTAATTTTAGTGTAAATGCTATTAACACTAAGCCTAACACACCGATGGGTAAACTATTACATAACAAGATTATACTTATTTAAATAATTTTATTCTATTTGGATATGTATGTATGATACAATAAAAAAACTAACTTGATATAAAAGCCCCATCGCCAAGTAGCATGATCAACAAAAGCCCCACCAATCAACGGACCCAATACACTCGCGATCGAAAAGATAATAGCTACAAGTCTAAAAGAAGAAAATAATTTAATGATTTGCCTTTTTTAAAAAATACTAGGCTCTTAAAACTTACCCTTGATATTTAGCACGCTCGTCCAATGTACTAATATCCGCAAATACAATTAAGATACAACTAAATACAGCACCACCGCCAATGCCTTGTAACGCTCTCATTATTATTAACATGTTCATGCTTTGAGCTGCCCCGCATAATGCACTTCCAACTAAAAATAATATTAGGCCAAAGAACATTACAACACGTCGACCAAAAATGTCAGCGAATCTACCGGCCAATGGGATAAATGCGTTAAATGTAAGAATATATGCTGTGGCGATCCATGATACGTCGGATAAATTATTGAATACTGTTCCAATTTTTGGCATCGCTGTCGATGAAATTGTATTATCTAAATAAATAATAGTGAATTTTTAGAATATTTATATATATTTATATTATGTGTGCTATGTATATAACTCATAATAATGATAATCACCTAAACCAGCAAGAAACAGAATAAGACATAATCTAAAATGTGCATATATGTAAAAAAACGCGTCAATTTAAAAATTTAGGAGAAAGCAAGTATAATTATACTTACCCACTAACCAATGGAATTTTAACAGATTTTGGCAATTGCACCGGTTCAAAATCAATTCCCGCATGCTCTCCATTTCTATTTTCATTTTTAACATCAAGTCCTAATTCAATATTTTCATTTTTAACTTTCTCTTTATTCAGAGTATCATTTTCTTCGGAAGAACCGACCACAATTGTTCGTATACTGTCTCTGTTTTCTTGGGACATTGCTGTTAAATTCGATCCACTATGTGAATTTGATAACGGCGATGGAATGTAAACCCTTTCTGTTTGGGGATTTGAATCCATTTTTTTCTGTTACTAGAAAAATAGGATAAATAAATGTGTAGTAGTGCGATTTATATAGCTAGCTCTTCGATATATACAATTAAATCAAAAAGGAAAAATATTCTAAAGCAGAGTATTAATAACTAAAGAGAAAGGATTGAACCTTTAAAATCATCTTCTCGCTCACACCTCCTTTTATACACACGAACAATGCACGCATGTTCGACGACGACGTAGGCCCGATTACGTGTTGTTTTTACTGCGACGCGCGTTCAATAATTTAATTTCGACGACAACGTTAGATCGACATCGGCATTTTTTTGTTCCGATTACGTATTGTTTTTATTGTGACGCCGAACGACATTGTATCGACATCCAGATATTTCGACAATTACGTGTTGTACTACATGTACGTGCTGTATTTGCTGCGACAAGTTCAATCAAATTTGATTTGATTAATGAACTTTTCGGAAAATTCTATGATTTAAAAAGGAATCCCATTGATGCCAGATTAAACAAAATACATGCATATAGAATTTACTAATGGTTTCAAATAATATCGGACTTGGACAGCGAAGATGATTTTTTGTGGCTGTATGCAATTTCTGCGCAATATTATGTGCAATTTTGTTGGTCCTTTTACGAAAATTTGTGATACATGCATGTTATGGTCAGTTCAATATTACATGATAACGATAATCAAACATGTATATCTATTTATTATTAAAAAAATCTCAACTAGCTCGATTAAAATACATCATATTAAGTTGCCTAAGTGATTCTTTCGATAAATTTTGATGGTCAATATCTAAAAGTGAATTATATAAACAAAAGTTATGTTTAACGGTGCAGCTAGATATAAATAACCAAATAGAACCGGATGCGATTTGTAAACGAATTTGCTAAATTATTCCAATATACGTCTAATTCATTTTGATTCCTACTCTCATCAAGTTCTAATACACAATAAATGTCCGCTCACGTAAAATACTTCGATTAAGTTTTTAGATGTTGAGTAGTTTGCAATGTTTGCTGAACTTTAACCTGTTCATTTGTTTCGAAATTTTTTTGTGATACATGTATAGGTTTTTTGCGCAGTGTGCATCTATTGTTGATTTATGTTTTCATTCTACCAAAAGATTGCAATAGTTACAAAAAAGCAATCCATTATCAACACGAACTGCTTCAGGATTAAATCAAATTTTGTAACGATATATATGAATTATGTATTTATCGCAAAACTTTGTGAATTATATGATGTCAGATATCATTGTCTCTGGACTTGAATTATACGACACTCTGAATACAAATACATTGTTACGCGCAATTCAAAAGTTAGTTGGACTAAAGAATTACAAATGCAACAAGAAGCGAGAGCTAGACTGAATGATTTACACAGAGTGGGGTATCACTAAGGTCTATAAGGGATCCTACGCCAATCTACACGGAGATTGTGCAATAAAAAGAGGCAATGAATGTAGAGGGGCAAAGGTAAAGTATAAACTAATAACTTTATTTTATTAACAACATTACTAACAAAATACTATAACAACCTTTACTAACGCATAACTATTAATTACTATCACAACCTTTTCAAAAAATAGGTTTATTTCGAAACAACAAGACAAAATAAAAGGGAATCTTATAGCAAAGAATAACCCAATCTTTCAAGAATGCATCAAACGGATCAAGAATCAAGCGTGATTCATCAACTTTGTATGGCCAAAGCAGTAAAGCCTTCAATTGTTAAGCATAAGAGAATTAAAGCTATCAATTTTGTTAAGACACAAAAGAAATAAAATCTGAAGCTATGTTTAGGTAAGATTTAAAAAAAATAGATTTTATTTATTTTTCTTCAAACCATGCAAGACTTATTACATCATTTTGCAAGAGCTATTCTTTTTATATATTTTTGTTGCATTCTAACTACTTGCTATTCTATAGGTCAAGATTACGAGTCTTCACGGGTCAGAATCGTAGAGTATGGATGAGTTTACAAAAGGGATGTGGCTTTATTATTACGAGTGCAAAAATGGGAATTAATTACTATCAAATTTAAATTGTTATAAGTTAGGTAATAAGAATAAAATAAAAGAAATTCTATGTGCAACACTAAGGTATGAATGAACATTATAAGAATTTCGCACGGATTTCTTTGGATCAAAGATAATCGTTCGATGGGTTTGTTTGCATTTGTTGTTATGTTCACGTTCTTGGGGATGCTGATAAGGAATTTTTGAAGAGAATTCAGGTGGTTAGGAAAAGCAGTACCAATGTTAATACCACAAGGTAGGAATTTTATACATGTATGAATTTTCGAATTGAAGCAATTATCTAATCACTTTCATATTAGGGGCATAAAGGTTTGGATCGTCAGACACATTGGAATCACAGGATTTCTATAAATCAAACGTTGATTTCATAAGTTCATTAATCACAGGATTTTTCATTGCAATGACAACATCATTCCCTCCTTTTGAGAGTGAGCTTCCGTCACATTACAATTGCTCAAGAATTTGATTTAGATTTTGATTACTAAATTTTCCTATTTCCGTTGAGATAATCTTCAAATGTTGGTGAAGCCTGGCTCTATGAAAGATCTGCCAGGTGTGTTTCACTATGATCAAATGAAAATTGATCGTTCATGTTTTGCATCGCGCTTCTTTAGTATTACCATTCTCCAGTTATAGCTTGCAGATTTGTTTTGAAATAAATTTCCAATTGGTAATATTTCTGCACTTGCACAGTATTGATATCTTATCTATGCAAGATGTGATCTAATATCTGTTTCACTTGTCATTTTCATTCTAGACTGCTATTAGTTTGATACTATATGAGAGTAAGTATTTCATTATACTTATGAATTTTCAGAATGAATCCGTGATCTTTATTAATTATTTCTATTACTTATTGAATCCACTTTTATATATTTGATCTTTATTGGTGATAACAATATATTAGTTACTATAAATGATAATTCGGGCTTCTCTTTTGTGCTTTTCTAATAATTGGGTAAGTATTTTCATTGCTTGTTGTATATCGATATCATTACTTTCGTCCGGTAATTTGTTGTTCATCTGGCATTTGTCTGCTATCGGTGGATAGTTCTAGATTGGAGATGACTTTCACATTCACAATATAAAGAAAATCAATTGCTTAGTATTATTTGTTTCCCATTTTGTCATCTATATCGTATTTCTTCTTTTGATATGATTCATATTGCTTCTTAATATTATTAATATTATTATTATTATTATCATTATTTGTTTTTCAATAATATTTCCTTTCCTTTTTTATATATTATTACTACTGCCCGTTACTGGTTCTTATATAAAAAAAATTAAAAAAAATAATTCTTATCATCTCAACTCATTCTTCATGAAGTTTAATTTAGTGCTGGATCCAGGTTACGTAAATATGTAGATTGTTAACACGTCACAGTAGTTTATAAATTTTCTCAACTCCCTTTAATTTTCATTTACTTTACTTTGTTGCAGTATGTCATTTGTTTCTTTGATTGCAATAATCAATGTCACCTTATTAGTGCTTATTCGTGAGCAGAGTTGCAGATGTTAGTATTATTCTTTTGTGGGTTATTTCTGTAGCATTAGCAGATTTTGTCGATCTAGATTAATTTCTGGTCAGCAACAGGATCTAATACCCTTCTCTTCATTTCATGTTATTATAGAACTGAATGCATTCTTGTTATTTTCACAGTTTTTCTTGTGAAATTTTACTTTATTGATCTCATTTCATTCTTCATTGTGAACCAAACTTGTTTTCATGTGCGACGTGCCATTTCATGTTTTGTATATACTAGCACTATCTCTTCAATATTAAAGGTCACGTCATTAGAGATTCAGACATTATAGTGTTCTTGATCTTTCTTCTATTTTCTGTCGCATCTCTTTAATTCTCTTAGGCACCCTATCAATTAGCGTAAAGATTCTATCAGCTTCAATTCTTTCTCGTTCTTTTCATTAATCATCAGCCTAGCTCTTAATCATATATTAAGAAGAAGAGGTATGTTCATAATGTCTGACAAGCGAATAGAGCAGCAAGCATGTATTCGTCTCATTTTATCTTCAAATAAATGCAAAACTTTTGAAGAACTTGACATATAATTCTATTGAATTATTCGATCAATCTGTTAGTTTATGAATAATAAGATCAAACTTCTGCTTATTTCATATTGCAAAGTTCTTTAATTACTAATGCAGTAAACTCTTTTCCATTGTCCGTTTGTATTTCTTTAGAGCATCTATATCAGTATATAATATTCTCAAATATAAATTATGCAATAGCTTTCTTATCTGGAATTGCTCTTGTCTCTGGCTAACAGGTCAGTGCATCAATTGTTATTGTGATATAACGATTTTCTTTTTGAGTTCGCTTGCAGAGTACTATTAAGTTGATTTGAATTCTTCAAATGATTATTCAATCTTTACAGAGTGTAAAAACTGTTTGTTGATTCATGGTTCAGTGAGTTGACATATAAGGTATGACTTGACGAAGTCTTTAATATCTATATTCATTCTATTTCACTAATACTTTGCAGCAGTTTGTTGATGTGTTCTCTTATATTCAAATGATCAAACAATATACTTTCATATATACAAGCTATTATTGCTTTGATCTCATTTTTCATATTACTTGTAGTAAATTTGTTGGTTTCTTTCTGATTATTACTTTAATTAATCTTTTTATTTTTTAATATATTATTATAAAATAATTAATTTCTTTAATTTTTTTCTTGATTTTACAGATTATATAAATTTTGTGTAATTTTATAAATCATTCTTTTAATTTCTAACTTTAAATAATTACATTTTCTGCACATAATTAATCTTCTATTTTACTCTTCTAAATTTTATCTTATATTATTTTACTCTTTTAATTTTTTATTTTGATTTATATTTTTTTTCTTTATTTAGTTAAATATAATATTTTTAGTATTATCCAATATTTATCTTTTCTATTATTAGTTATTGATAGTCTTTTATTATATAAAAGTCAAGTTA